CCCCCCCTGAACTTCCTCCCTAGCTCCGCCAGAGTACCTACCGGTCAAGCATCCGCCGTTGGTGTCATTTTAGAGATCTGTGCCCTTGTTTTGTTTATCAGATAGATGAATGGTAATACATTAATACATGTACTTGCGTCAGACTGACGTCTGACAGAGTCAGCTTTTACAGAGAAGAGAGAGGGGACTGGAGAGAACGCTGCATGCATGCATTCTCTCACCCCATGCACTGGACATGCATTTTATTTTCATCCTCATATTTCTAAGGATTCATATCTTTTGAACCAAATGTTCATTACTGAAATTTCTTATATATTTGAATTCGTTGGGTGAAGACCTTCAAAACAAGATCAATTTTGAATATATTTGAACTATCTTTTTCATATATATTTCAATTACATTTGAAATTAGTTTCATAAAACATTTGAAATAACCAATTTCACATATTTTAAACAACCTATTTCACTATTTTTCAAACACAAGATTAAGCAAATTGACAAACATACCGAAATATGTTTCATATATTTGAGAAATACATGTTTCGTAAACATTGAGTGAAATATTTAGACAACAACTTAGACGTGTTTGAAATAATCAATTTCACATATTTCAAATAACCTATGTCGCATATTTCACTATTTTCTATATTTCAATTTTCTTTTAAATTGCTTTTATAAAACATAAAATTGATCTGCTATTTCATAAAAGTGTTTTGGACTGTTTCGCTAATATCAGTTAAAAAACCATTTCACTCATTTCAAAAATCGATTTCACACATTTCATAAGACATATTACTCTCATTTGCAAATATCAATTTCACTACAAAATTATGAAATATATTGAAATGTATTCCGCTCATTAAAACTATCAGTTTCAAACACTGGAAAATTAGTTTCACAACAAAATTTGGTTTTATTTCTCTTTTATTCAAATAACTTATTTCACTCATTTCAGAAAACACACTGCACTCATTTACAAAATATACATTTCACCAATTTCACTAGTTTCGAGAAACACATAACATTCATTTTTAGAAAACATATTACACTCAATTCACTAGTTTCCAAAATAATTATTTAACAAATTTGAAACAATGCATTTCACTTGGAAAACCGATTTCACTCATTTCGAGAACTGGTTTCAATCATTTTGAAAGTTGTAATTTGAAATGAGTGAAATTTATATTTTGACATGATTGAAATAGTAAAAATTAAACTAGTTTAAATATATTCAAGATTGGTCTCATTCTAAACATCTTATGTTCCAGAATTTGAATATATGAAAATTTTAAATAATAGAACAATGCTTTAAAAAATATTGGCCATCTAAAAATGTAAACAAAAATAAAATGCATGGACTTGTTTGAGAGAGAGGAGAGATGTTGCATGCATGCGTACATCCCGCTGCAAAAAGTACTGCCATTCCTGACATGGGCCCTATTCATCTGACGATGATTTGACTATATATAAAAATATAACTGCTTAAATACATGATTATACATATGAATGGGTCTCGCTTAGACACACATCGTAAAACACGTGAATGGTGAATGATTAGCCGGTAGCTACCAGCACCGGTAAAAGAGAGTTTGCGGGTAGTCAATAGGCTTTTTTTCAAGTAGGATTGGCACGCTGTTCACTCGAGAGACTGACGCAGCCTACCATTTAGGTTTTGGACAGCACGTTTTGTATAGAAACAAAGCAGCTTTTGCCTTTCGCGAGCTCTTTCGGCGTCTCGTTTGGCCATCTGCGAGACAGAAAGCGCAAGACCAACGGAAGGGAACAAAACGGGTTGAGAGAAAAGAAGCTGTATGGTCACTTGGCCAGTGATCCCGGATCTTTTGTGATTTAACTGAACGTAGGGAAGGTGGCAAGCAACAGTTCAGATTCAGAAATCAACAGGGACACTGGCCAATACAGGCCGGGGCCAGGGCAGGGATTCCACCACCCCACTGGCGTGCAGGTTGCAGAATGCCCACAACTGTAGAAATGCACGCTCTAGCCAATGCAACCAAAAGACCGATCTGATAAAAAAGGCTAGGCAGCACATTATACGTCAACAACAACAACACAAGCAGAGCCACACCGCGAATCAACCTGTGGTTGAGTTGGTTAGGTGGACAGTGGTATCCCAACCCACCAGGGTTCAAATCCTGGTGCTCGCATTATTCCTGGATTTATTTCAGGATTTCCGGCGATGCGCTTTTAGTGGGAGGAGACGTTCCCGTCGGCGACAAGGTGCCTACGGTGACTTCGTAAATCTCAAGATGATATGCCGGCTCAGTCTCTCGAAGGTGCTCATAGGGATAGGATGTGCGTGTGTGCGTTCATAGGGATGAGTGTATGCGCGTGTATATGAGCGCTTGTGTTTGTACTGATGCTCAAAAAGAAAAAAACAAGCAGAGCCACACCGCAAACACTATAGATTCCATGACGGCAAAAAAAGATCCGGTCCCGGTCCTAAGAGAAGGGACGATGAGCAGGACCGTGACCACCGTGATGATGATGAAGACCGATCGTGTGGGCGCTGGGGTCGCGAGGATCGCTCCTCCTCCTGGCGTGATCGCCTCTTCCGCAGCCGGTCGCGCGCTCCAGTGCGCAGCGAGGACGAGGACCGCCGCGGCTCTCGGGACAGCCTCCGTTGCTAGGAAACTAGTCTCGCTAATCTCTCAATCACAGGGGAGACAGTAGTTACTTTTCTCGTTTTTCTTCTTTGCTATTTTTTTTATTACGTGAAGGAGGGGTTGGTGGCGATCCTAACTGTGCGCCACGATCCGCCGGACTCGCGCCATCCCACCAGAGCCGATCGTGTCTCCTAGGCCACCAGCGAGACTACCGGGCCACGACGCGACTACGTAGATCTACAGGCGCATGCAAAGCTACATGCACGGCACGCACACGTCGCGGCTCATGCTATCCTGTCTTTTTATTTGAACAGAAAAAACAGCTAATGTAAACGACTAGATTAGCTACTCCCTCTGTCTAGATGAATAAGTCATCCGCGTAGTTTTAGGTCTTCGATTTGAGCAATTAAATATGTGTTATATGTCATGAAAAATATATCACTAAATTTCTACATGGATGTAGTTTCTAAATATATGTTTTTTGTCACATATAATACATATTTAGATAGTTAAATTATCGACCTAGAACTACGCGAATGACTTATTCACCGAGACGGAGGATCTTGTCGTTGGCGAATTATTTCAACCATGCCGATCCTCCTCCTTAGCTCCTGGAAAACGAGGCGTCCAAGTGCTTTCGTCATAGTATCGGCGAGTTGATCACTGGTCCTGACGTAGTCGATGAAGATCCGTCCCTGCTCCACACACTCGCGAATGAAGTGATACCTGATCTCTATGTCCTTGCTTCGGTCGTGGAAGACGGGGTTCTTCGCCAGGGAGATCGTCGATTTGTTGTCGACGAGAAGCTTCGGCTGCAAAGCTTCCTTGTTCAGCATCTTTTCAAGTAGCCATGCCAGCCAGATGCCTTGACAAGCAGCGGTGGTGGCCGCCATGTACTCGGCCTCACACGAGGAGATCGCCGCCATCATTTGCTTCTAAGACTGCCAGCTCACCGGGCTCCTGTCGAGGAAGAAGATCACA